AGCAACATTATTTTGTCGACAAAGAAAAAGAAATCAACATCATTTTTTATGTTCGTCGGAAAAAATGGTGGGGAGGTGGTGTTTGTGAAGTTCACCGGACACAAGTATTACATGGGCCGCCCAAGCTTTTAATCTAGCTCGTGATCTTAGATTTATATTTGGACCTTGCAAATATTCTCTTAAGTATGGAAATCAAGCTTTCTGAAGTGAGACCGCCGTCGCCGTTGATGGACTAGAGTTGCGGAGTAGTGTGAGAAAAGAGGGGAAAGAAGATATAGCTATGCTACAATAACGGCACGGTTCTAGTGGCACCGGAGTGGCACCGTTTTCCGGTGTCACTGGAACCGGACCGCTACAATAAACCTTTATTTAAAGAGGATGTTATTCTATCTATAAAGGACACTGTAATTCTATCTCGATAGCGGATACTCCAAGCACATGACTGGAGATACATCCAAATTTAGTAGCATAAGTTTTTTGGTGACAACAACAAAGGAAAGATCATTGGCAACGACATCGTTGGAAAAGACAACGCTTCTACCATTGAGAACGTTATTCTTGCTGAAGGCCTCAAACACAATCTTTTAAGCACTAGGCAATTGTGCGATAGAGGTAACCGTGTCATCTTTGATCTTAGTAAATGTATTGTAGAATGCTTGTGTAATAATAAGGTTATTTTATGTGGCAATAGGGTAGACAAAAGTTATATGATTGATCTTGGAAATTCCTCATCAAACTTTTCTTAGTGTCTTACTACTAAAGAGGAAGAAACATGGTTATGCATCGACGAGTTGCTCACGTTAATATGGATTATCTTAATAACTTGGTCTCTAAGGACTTAATGATTTGTATTCCTAAACTTAAGTTTGAGAAAAATTTAATTTGTGATGCATGTCAAAAGAGGAAGCAAGTAAGAGCCTCATTTAAGTCAAAGAATATTATCTCTACGACTAGGCCATTACAACTTTTGTACATAGACCTTTTTGGACCTTCAAGAACTATGAGTGTAGGAGGCAATTACTTTGGTCTTGTTATCATTGATGACTACTCAAGATACACAGAGACACATTTTCTTTCTCATAAGTATGATGCACTTAATGCTTTTAAAAAATTTATTAAACTGGTTCAAAATGAAAAAGATTGTCACATTGCATTCATTAGAAGTGATCATATCATGGAGGAGAATTCGATCAAGATAGCTTTGATGTCTTATGTGTTGAATTAGGCATCGAGCATAAGTTCTCGGCCCCCCGTACACCACAACAAAATGGCATAATTGAACGGAAAAATAGATCTCTTGAAAAGATGGCTAGAACTATGGTCAATGAGGCAAACCTTCATAAATATTTTTGGGCGGATGTCGGGAGTACCGCGTGCTACATTTTAAACTAAGCCATCATAAGACCAATACTCAAGAAAACGCCCTATACACTTTACAATGGAAGAAAACCTAACCTTTTGTAATGCCCCAAAAGACACCCTAAAATTTATTATTAATTAAATATTCAATTAAACAAGTTTGTTTTGATTAAAATAAATTGTTATTAGGCTTTGGCCGATATGAAATGTGTTTTGATATCCAATATCACAATTAAGATAAATCTCATAGAGATAAATCCAATATGTTGACTATTTGTGTGGTCTTGATTGGGCACCAGAGTACAGACCAAATTGAGAAATAAAGAAATTGTTTGTGATGTAAACATTGAAATGATTTATTGAAATAAATCATGAGAATAAATAAAATGAATTGGATGAGAGAACCTTTTTGAATAAAGGTCAACTAAATCAATTTTGAGTGTGTCAAAGTCAAACCCCAAAAATATGATGTCTGAAAAAGTATTCCAAATAAACATAAAAATTATATCGTTGGATAGAGTTCGATTGTCTGATCATAACAGTGCAAACAGATTTCAATTCAAAGAAAGTTGGACCAAAAAATATACCCTGTCTGGGATCAAATTAGTCCCAATCAAGAAACGACGTGTATAATCAAACCAAATCACAGCATAGCCCACTAAGCCGTCGGCGATTGTGAATGATGTTTCTCTTCCTTGGCAGCTTCTTCTCCTTCCTACTATATAAGAAGACCTTCATATCCCATTTTTACACCAAATTCTTTCTTTCTTCTTCCATTTTGTCCATGAGAGTGTGGAGAGTAAAGTGGTGCTATCCAGAGAGTTGGAGGTCGCCGAAGGAAGTTGTAGTGTTCGTTGGAAGTTTCGCCGTTCAATCGCCGGAATCATCATTAAACTTCAAGGTAAGCCCGTAGATATATCTAATGACTAGAATGTTCATATAGATCGTTTCTACGTTCATAAACGGTCATTTGGTTGAGTTTTGTGTTTGACATGTTTGAAGAACCAAGAACCATAAACCTTGAAATCGATGTTAAAACTACGAATTAATGATACCAAAATGATGTATAAACCTTGAAGAACATTTCTATATAGTTTAATTGAAGTTTGGTAACTAAAAATGGTATTTTCGAAATTGGACCCGAATGAAGAAGAAGATGAACAGTGATCGAAAAACAGACAGGATGGATCAATCCATGGGGGTGGATCGATCCCCTGAAGTTTTGCTCCGAAACTATTTTCAAAAATTCTATTTTTGAGCTCTAAAATCCTATTTTTGATGACAATCAATTATGATCAATATAAAGATGATTTCTCACAATAAAAATGATGTTTTTAACAAATAAAAACTTATGTGATACATGACGGTAAGCTAGGGTGTTAACACTCGACGCTAGGCTGCTATTTGTTAAATGAGTATTAGAATGACTATTGTTGAATATTGATTATGATCAAACCTTGATGGATATTCTCAATTGAACGATAATTACAATGCATAAACCATAATGAAACGCCACTGATGACTAAATATTGATTATGATGCATGACCATGTAAACATGACGATAACGATCTTATTTTGACGAAATAATAAAGTATGGTATAGAATGAATAAACTGTAAGAATGAAATTCTGAATAGATATGTTCATTTGATTGTCCTGATTTAAATGATCATTATTATGAATTAATGAATCATGATTTAAAATGAATATATTGATGAGCAAGAAAATGATGTGTATTGTTAAGGGTATCTAGAAGAACTCTAAGATATACCCATTTAGATAATTAATGTTAAGGCTATCTAGAAGACATCTAGGATAGACCTCATATTAGAATGGACTTGTGAAAATATGAATATTCGATGATTTAGATAAAAATGTATAAACGGGATTCGTAGACCTAACTAGAGGATCACTCGTTTGGAAATACCCCGACTTAATGATGGTTAATCATTGTCTTGTTGTTGCCTTAAACTAATTACTGTTTAAGAATCTGAGAATAGTTGTTGCCTTAAACTAATTATAGTTTAAGCATCTGAGAATTGTTTGCCTTAAACTAATTACAATTTAAGTGTACGAGAATGAAAATTATGATTTGGCCTTAGACTAAGAATAGCTAAGAACGTTGTTATTATCATTGGCCTTAGATTAAGAATAATTTAAGAGCACTGTCGAAATAACTAATATACGAATTGAATAACATGTATGGATATAAACTAAACAATATCAAAATCATGAATGATGAATATTAAAATGAACATTATGTGCATGATATAAAATGATTGATTATGAATTTAGATTCAGTTTATATGGATATTTGACGCATTAGATAAATGCTTACTCAGCTTCAACGCTGAGCATGTAATATGTTTTATTTGTTACACGCAGATTAATAGAATGAAGGATGTGACGTGATCCTAGAGGCAGACGAGGGTGAGATTATCGGAATGGATGTGATGGTTTTAAGTTGAAGAACATAAATAAGTTATCTTTTGTGATTGTGATTTGTTAGGTTTCTGCAACATTGAAAACTCCATATTGTTTATTGTTATGAAAAATATTATTGTGATAAATAAAAGTGTTTGAAAAGTTTTAAATGTTTACGATTACCAAGTTAATACTTTTGTCCGAAAGGGGCTGCAAACCTGTACGGATTAGGGTATTACACCTTTCATATTTTCACGTCTTTAGATGTAAAGTATTTATTCATAATAAAGGAAAAGATAACTTGAGAAAATTTGATGTTAAGTGGGATGATGAAATTTTCTTAGGTTACTCATTGTGTAGCAAATCATTTAGAGGTTTCAACAAGTGTACTAGGATCGTAGAAGAGTCCATACATGTTGTTTTCGATGAGTTTGATGCTCACTTGGCGAGAAGAGGTATTGTAAAAAAAATTTCATGTTCACGTGATGAAGAAGAAGAGGCCAACAAACTGAAGGAATCAGAAAAAGAAAAATCGTAGGAGGAAACTGAACTTCCAAGAGAATGGAGAACACTTGATGGGAAATAATACGTGGCTCGGTCCACATTTCCCAAATATTTACGAAAAACCGTCAAACCGAGCCTGTTTAATAAAATGGAAGAATAAGAGAATATTCCTCCGTAGATGCTCCAGCTACTCCTATAAAATGAGGGCTCCCACTCAATGTTAGGGGAGGGCCAATTTCCTCTCCTGCCCATTTGTTTCTCTCTCTAAGTTATGATATAATTTCTTCTTCAAGAGCTTGTAGCTCCACCATTAATGGCTTCCGAGACTCCCGATATTAGTAAAAATCCCCTGTTGGCAAGGTACCGCCAAAAAAGGCCCGTGGTTTTCCACGACAAAATTCCTGTGTTTATATTTTGATGTATTTTTTAGACTAATTTATCGTTTTTTTCCGGCTTAAAACGATATACCAGTCGATAATTTACACCATCATTTTATTGGCACCCAACGTGGGACCGAAGTTTATCCTACGAAGTACTCCAAATTCGTCCAAAAATACCACCGGGTAAATGAAGACCCTTTGTTTTCTTAAAAAAAAGTGTTTCATTTGCTGTAGAGGAAAATGATGAGGGAGTTAAAAAAAGTAAAAAAAGAGAGATAATCATGAAGTTACATCTCATTTCCCACCACACAAAAAAGTTGGTGACGAGAAGGAGACAAGAAGAGAAAGAGGAAAGAGAGAAGATAGGGGAAGAAGTTCAACATCCTCACGGTTGCTATCAGCATAGCCACTGCCGCCATCCTTGGCCGCAGACTGACTTCCGGCCACTACAGCACCACCACAGCTGAGAAGACGAGTTCCCTCCGCCAACGCACGACAGACCAAGGGAAGTCCACCACGCCGCTCAGGGTGAATTTTACCTGGAACCGCCGGCCATCCAACACTGTCCCCACCGTAGCACCAGAGCGCTGTTGCCACCCATGGTCGCAGCCCAGCTTCATCCCCAGGGGACATCCACCATCACCGGCTCACTGAGGAAGCCAGCAGTCGGCACTGCTACCGCCATTGCTTAAAATTGATGGCCTTGCCGATGAAGACCCCGTTGTTGCTCCTGGGATGCACCGTCATCGCTGCTAGTTCTAAAGCTTGTCCGCAGTCGCCATCTCCACTCTTCAAAATTGCCGCTCGCTCACCATCACTCGGCCTTATCCGAGGTCAAATTTGTCTTGTGGAGCAGCCGCCGGACACCATGAAAGAACGAAACATATCCAAAGAAGGCACCACCACCAGCGACAAAATGGTTGCGACTGCTGTTGTTCAATTTGTAGCGGTCACGTCAAAATCTGCCTGATACTCTTGCAGCCGTGGAAATATATTGACCCACGTTGTAGCTTGAATCGACCCCTGTTTCAGCTCTGAAAATGGCAATCACTGCCGCCACCTGGTTCGTCATCAGAGTCGTAGTCGCGGCCCAGGCCCGCCATCATCGTTACTAGCCATATCGACCATAGTTTTTTTGAAGCGTTTGTCATAACCGCCATTGAAGAGGAAGAAGGAGAGCATCATGCTGCCACAATTTCATAAAAAAAATCAGACCTGTTCGTTGCCGGTAATCTCGGTATATATACTCCGTATCTGCTATCGCCGCCCCCAATCACCTCCGCCGTTGGCACTGAAGCTAGTCCATATCTACTACCTCACATTGGATTCCATTTCGTCCATCTCACGTCCAAGAAGAACAAGACAAGGGAGAGAAAGATGCATATACGTGGTAGATTTTTCACCCATTTTGATAAAGTGGAATTTATTATTGCTGTGAGAGAGATAAAGTAAGGATTGAAGATTTTGAAGGAGAATTTCTCTGCCAATGAGAGCAACAATGTGGATCGTGTTAAAGCAAACAAAGGGGGACCAAGCACATCCACTCCTCAAGAAGAGACTAGCCGTGCCCAAGTTTGGGAAGCTCGCCGCCACCATCCACGCCCTAGAGAAGAAGAGGCCCCGAGCTGGCTTAGGTGAAAAAAGATCTTAGACGCTATAACTTGAATCCGTGACGACGTTCGAAGGGTGAACAAGAGGATCGATTGTTTGGAGGAAGGTTGTCACTCGTTTGCGGCACTCGGCGTAGTTACTCTGGCTAGCTTCTCCCCCTTCACTTTCTCTCTTTCTCTCCTTTTTCACTCTCTTTATTTGGTTTTGTTATTAACTCTCTTGATGGTTATGTTTATGTTATGACTATGTCTTTAATTGCTTATGTGATGTATGATATTGCACTTATGTTTATTTGGATGCTTAATCTTGAATTGATTTGATAATGTTTATGTCATGCATTGCTTGGTTTGGCAATATTGTTCTTTTGAACATATTGTCCCTTTGTTGAAAATGGTACCAGTTCCTCTTTTAAGGAACCTCTTGCAAATTTTTTGTAAGACTTTTTTAATTAAAACGTATGTTTTGGGCTATCCTTCTAAAACCCGTGCATCATTTGAGGGGGAAGGTATCTTTTGATAATGCTAAAAGGGGTAAGGAAGGATAGTTGAGAAAACCATTTCAAAAGATTTTCATACTTTTTCTACTAAGTACTTTGTTGATTGTGTTTTGATCACTTCTAATCATGTAGGGGGAAACTTTTAGAGGGAAGTATTTATTGAACTTAACTCCTTTGCTTATCTCAACTATTGGGTTGTCATTATCAAAAATGGAGAAATTGTTGGACATGAGTTCAAACCCTTTTGTATATTTGTTTGTGATGTTATTTTTTGGATTTTGATAAATGACAAACACAATGACTAACGTAATTTTACTTTAGTATCAGAGCGGGTATCTCTAACTCTTCTTGTGACATTTGAGAAAATGATTAAATTTTTTTTTGAGAATGTTGAACGCGGGAATTGAAGAAGGGCAGTCCATATCAAGACCATTGTTGTTCAATGGAATAAATTATTTGCATTGGAAAGATAAAATAAAAATATTCATTCAATCCATTGATTACAAGTTATGGATGATGATCAACAATTTAATTTGTTTTCCAACAAAGAAGGTAGGCAAGAAAAGAATGATCAAGCCCAAAGAGGAGTACACAGACGATGATATCAAGAAGGTAGAACAAAATGCTAAAGTTCTACACCTTCTATATTGTCCCATTGACGTGGAAATATTCCTAACGTTCTCGGGCTATGAAACGGAAAAGAAGTTATGGTATGATATTCAAGCAAAATACAAAGCTCTTGAAGGAACAAAAAACGCAACCCAAATTTGCTTTATGGCCAATGAAGAACAAGAGGTAAGCACTTCTAACTCTCTTTCTTTTGAAGAACTGAAAGAAGCTTTTAAGGAACTATTTGGTGAGTATAAGAAAGCTTAAAAAATTGTCGAAAAGGATAAGGCAAAGATTCATACTTTAGAAAAGGAAAATAAAGTTTTGAAAAATGGTAATCTTGACCTTAAAAATAAAATTAAGGCAATGAATTAAGCTTCCTCTTCTATTGACCATAGTTCTACTTGTTCTTCTGGTGAGTCTTTAAAGTTAGAGAACATAGAACTTATGGACACTAGAAAAATATAAGGTAAAAGAGCCTAAGAAAATTATTAAAGAGGTTAATATGCATAGATCAATTAGAAGACATAATAATCCTATGAATAACAAATTTAATTTTAGGAATAACAAGAATAATCTTAGACAACCTAGAAATGACTAAGAATTTTAAAAATGATAGGAACAATTTTAGACAACCTAGAAATGAGTCTAGGAATCTTATTATTAATTATAGGGATAATGATTTTAGATCACCTAGATATTATTCAGATCAACCTAGGTATATGCACAACCCGAACGTGATATGTCACTATTCCAATCAGGTAGGACACATAGCACCCGTATGTTTTGCTAAGCATAAGGATTTATTATATATCTATGATTATTATTTCCCTAACAATTAAGGACCAAAAGTGGTTAGGTACCTAATTTTCATTTTTGGATACACCATGGAAGATGTTTTGAAGACTACGAGTTTGTAGTGGATGCCCCAAGCATTAACTAAAGAGATTACATCTAAGTGGAGCGATCACATATTTTTTATTGTGTAATTGTTCCCAATTAGTTTTTATAACCCCTACTTAAATATGCATGAATTTATATGCATTATCCTATCACACACACACACACATATCCTTTATATCTTTTATATAATACAGACTCCGAGCTATAAGAACGTGATATTTGGCAGAGCTAATGTGTCCCCCTTTTAGACAATTACGCATAGTTTTGAAAACCAGACCGGCAAGAACCGGCCAGTCGAACCAGTCGGACTAATTTTTTTTTTGCAATTTTTTTCCAAAAGCATACCACCATGCGAGTTTGAACCCAAGATCTCTTAGTCATTTAAGGCCTGTTCTTTAGGACTGAAAAAAGAGCTGGATGTTGGAAGAAACTGGAAGGAACTGGATGAAACTGGAAGGAATTGGAAGAACTAGAAGAAATTGGAAAAACAAAAAAAATTAAAAGAAACTGAAAAAACTAGAAAAAATTGAAAAATCTAAAAACAGTTTTAAAGAAAATTTTATGTGTGGTTTTATATTATTCTCATTCTGATTTTTGTTGTTATAAATTATTATTATTATTATTGTTGTTGTTGTTGTTGTTGTTGTTGTTGTTGGTGGTGGTGGTAGTGATGGTGTTATCACGTTATCTTAATGATTCTCTTTAAGATAAAAAAATATTACGAGTATTATTTTTCACATATAAAAGTTAGTTTAAAAAAATAATTAAAATATAAAATTAGTATAAATATTACACTTCTTGGGTCATTTTTTCTTTTTTAAAATGTAGTTTTTTCTCTTGGTTTTCATAATGTAGTACTCCCCACCAAATTCCATACTTTATATTTTAGATTAAAATATTGATGTTTACCTTATATAAATTTAGATTAAAAAAATATTCTATATAACTATTTATCCATAATTTTTTAAATAGTTTCCTAATTTTTCATGTAGGTTAATATACAAAAACGGTATTATTCATATTAAAAAGTTGAAGAAAAAATAATAATGAATGTGAATCATAAAAATAGTGAGATAAAAAATGAAATAATTTATAAACTATAGTTATGAACATAAAAGTTGTAATTAAAAAAAGTTGTAATAATAATAATAATAATATATTTTTTAGAGTGATTTGTCAGAAAGTAGAAAGAATTTGAAGAAACTAATTATAGTTGTAAGAAATTAGAAGAAACTGGAAAAAACTGGAAGAATTGGAAGAAATAGGAAGAAATTGGAAAACACTAGAAGAAATTGGAAGTTAAAGAGTTCAAGCTCTTAAGAACAGGCCCTTAGATGAGTTCCTAACCAACCAAGCTAAGGTGCTTTTTGTTACCATTTCACTTAACCTTTTATAATATTTTATAATTAAAAAAGGATTGTATAAAAATTCCTTTTTAGTTATAAAAAATATAATCCTTTAATATAATATTTGAGACTCCGTTTGCTAGAAAGTCGGCAAGTGTCAAGCTTATGTGGGCTATATTAAGGTGAGATGTCAAATCTTTATTGGTTGTTTATGTGGCAAATTATATTAATGATGAATTGACCTTTCTTTTTATTTTAAAATAGAAATTTAATAATGATTTCAAATTTTGGAAAAATTTCACGTAAAAAGATTTAGAACAAATAAAGAATTCATTACTTCGTGACATTAGTTGAGTATTTATATTTTTTATTTCTGAAAAGCAATTCATTTATTTATTTGTTATACTGTGATAAAATTAATTATGTTATAAAATCAAATTTGTGAAAGATAAATATAGTATTGTCCGAAATAAAATTATTAAAGGAAAACAATTATGTAAAATATAATTTTATGATAAAACTTATTGTGATGCAGCAAAAAATTAGTGAAAATATAAAATTGATATTATCACTGACCATTTCTAGACTAGCATTTTTTATGAATCAAATTTTTAAGTAAGTGCATACACAAAAAAACAAAATTTTGATAATGATATATTTATGTTTAAAAGTATTCTTATAGGAAAGGATCTAATATGTTTATAATTAATCCTTTATTTATAAAATTGATATTGTAATCTCTAAGAAGCTGAGATGTGATGTTGTTTACGCGACATTTCTGACACGTAAAATAAATTATAGAAAGTAAGAAGTTGATATTATGGTTTGAAGTCATTCGGTACAATTAATTATGGAAGTGAATATATATTTGTTTTTATAATAAATTATTTCCTAATTATGCATATTTTTCTATTCAATTATTACAAAACTTCTAAAGGTGTGTTTGGTGAACAAAAAAATATGAGTTTTGATACCTCTAGATATCTTAATCCTTTTCTGGCGCTTGGTGAAGCCAAAAGAGTTATCAAATTTAATATCTCTAGATATCATAAATCTTTAAAATGGATGATCTCAATATCTCCCGAATTTGGGAGATATCAATATGGGAGTTTGATATCTCTCTCAACTGTTGATCATTCTTTGTCACTCACAACCATTGTCACTGGCAACCACTCCCATTGCTAGTCACCCTTTCTTATTAATAATTAAATCTTGAATTTAAATCTCTCCAAATAAAATTATTTCAAATTACAAAATCCCCACATCATCTTATAATATCTCCAAAATTCACCAAATTGGCCCTAAGTAATTAATAAGATATTTCTTCACTTCTAAATAAATTTCATATTTTTTATGATATATTTAAATCAAAGCAGTTAGTTCGATTATATTTATTAAAATATTCAGTTACTATAACATGTAAGCCCAAATGACAAGAGATTCTAAGATAAATGACAATAAAGAAATGTGAAGACACTCCTAACATTGAATCTAAAATCTTTAAAATAAAAGTGGATCGTTTGGAGAAGGACAGAAAACAGGAATTATATTTGGTGAACTAATTAGAGGTAATTTTAAGGTTTGCTATATTAGTTTCAATTAAATAATAAAGTTGTTGTAGTTTGGATGTTCAAATTTAAAGTATGGTCATTTGATTGAAATAATACTCTGCATGTTTGTACACTACTAACTTTCAAAAGAGAAGTTTGCCTCGTGCACATATCTTAATATGGTTACACGAGAGGGATAAAATATAATCAACTTGAAAGATATAGAAACAATTTTTTGGTAAA